TTTGGAGAGAATCAACTCTGGAGAAGGAAGATGTCCAGGGCAGATCTTACTTATGCATGTCTTACTATTCTTTTTTCCTTATACTAAGAGGGAAATTTTAAGCAGAATCAGTGTCCCTCTTCTGCATGGATAAATGTATCCTAGAGTGAAGAAGGCCCTAGCACCCTTTCCTGACATAAGAAACATTTAAAAGTGGCATGCATATACATGGGGCTATGAAGTAATTCTGCCTACTGGTGAATCACTATTCTAACCCATATGAACACTGCAACACTGGACAGGTGAACCTCTCTGGGAACGGACTTTCTTATCCACAAAATGGTGATAATGATAATTGGTTAATTTCTTAACTATGAAATAGTGGTTCTGGATTGTGAGGATTAAAGGATATAAACTGGATAATAAATATTTCAATGTACTTTTCCAGAAATAATAAACAGAGAATGGGGAGGGGAGAGAAGAGGCACAAAGCACAAATGAAAATAAGCTTTGCAGTTTCTTAAATAACAGTGTAACAATGTGGAGTTGTTTTGAAGGCAGAGATCCTCTGGATTCCGCCATTCCAGTCACCAAAAAGCAGAAGCAGCCACAGAAACTTGACTACTATCTTCCAAACAGAAACAACCAATTTTTGAAAATTTGGCTAAAGAAATACCCTTGGCTTGTATATGATGAACTGTTAAATCTTATGTTCTGTGTCCTGTGTCGTAAGCATGGGGTGAAATCAGGGGGAAGTCATGTGAGTTTTTTTTATGGCACTGACAACTTCCGCGCTGAATTTCTCAATGCACATCATCTCAGTGAAGCTCATGCCAAGGCTTCATTGATGGAAGCCACGAGTGGTTCCCCAGTGAACAGAGCTGCCACTGAACTGATGGTGAGAACCATGAGCAAAGTAACTCTTGGGCGAGTGGAGAACTTATTTAGATCATGTCATGCTCTTGCAAAGACTGGCCGTTCCCTCAAGGATTTCACTTGGATGTGCAAGTTGGATGATATGAAGGGTGTCGATATCGGCCCAGTGTTCAGAACTAACAAATCAGCAAGAACATTTACTTATTTTATTGCTGAGGTAGAACGGAAAAATCTAAGAGAAAAACTAGAAAAAAGTAAATTTTTCTCTATCATCAGTGATGGGATCATAGACAGTTTATTTGATGAAGCAAAACTTGTCTACGTGCAATTTGCCCACAAAGGAAAAGTGCAATGTCAGATTGTTGGGGTACAGTCAGTAGAGAGGAAGGATCCTTTAACAATAAAAAAGGCCATTGAGAAAACTCTAGAGACAAATCTTCAACTTAGGCTGTCAAGTCAAGAATGGGCAAAGAAACTGGTTGGTTTTGGAAGTGATGATTCCCTTGGAATAGAGGGAGAGGCTGGGGTGGCTTTGCTTCTGAGAGAAATTCAGCCATGTGTGCAAACTGTATATTGCTTTGCACATCACCTTGAGCTCTCTTACAAGGCAGTGTTCCAGAGCATCCCACTGTACAATGATCTGAAAGAACTCCTCTGTGATATTCATCACTTCTACCACACTTGCCCTTTTCATAAGAGTTCTCTGATAATCGCCTTCAAAGGCCTTCATCTTCGACCTGTGATGCCCTCCCGAATAAGGGACAGGCAATGGCTTCAAGGACTACAAGCTTCCCTCCAGAACTTTCTCAAAGGATATCCAGCAATTGTTCAGCAACTGCATTCAGTAAGTAATTTTGAAATATTTTTCCAGAACAACAGGAAATAGTTTTACTGAGTTATTTGACATAATTTTTTGAAACCAATAACCACCCACCACGTCATTCCCAATTTGTTTTAAAGCCAGGTGGAGGAAAACATGACACCAGTCAAGAGAAAGCCAAAGAGCTTCTGGATCTCCTTCTCCAAGCTAACATCATCAAATTTGCTCATTTCATGATGGATGTAATTAGCGTCCTTAGCATCCTGTCCCGGGTCATTCAGAACAGAAATTCCACAATCGCAGACATTTTTGCTACCTTGGAGTCAACACTGGAAATGCTCCAGATGTATCAATCAAGGTGACGGGTTGAGGAGATCTGAGGGTCTTTGAAGATAGACAATTTGACTTGGGGAATTGTTTTCCAGGTGCATTTTCATTTAATTCTTTGGGTGATTTTCTTCTCCCAGGCCAGGACCTAAAGAATGCAGGGTGGATTTAGCCACATACTTTCACGGTAACTGTCTCAGAGGAAAAGAAAACATTTCTACCGTGAGAAAGGTGGTTTTAACACATCTTATCAAGAGGCTGCAAGGCTGTTTCAGAGATGCTAGCCTAGATGTGGTAAGAGCAGCCATGATTGGGAGCTTTAAACTATGGCCCACAAAGCTAAATCAAGGTAACTTGTACGCACCAATAGCTCCAGATCAATTATTCTTTGATTGTTCAAGTTTATTTTCTACGTGTGACTACGTGCTTGTGTGTGTTTGTGCATTGCAGAATTTGGAGAAAAAGAGATATCTATCTTGATGGCACATTATGAGCCAGTTCTGGAAGCTGCCAACGTGAAAAGTGATGAAGTAGATACCGAATGGAGCATGTTAAAATTAGAGATATATGCTAGGTCAGTAAGAAAGCAAACTGAGTGAAGAGTTTGATATGTATCCATATTTGGGTAAATCTCAATCTCAAATCTTTCATCCTCCCTCCTAGATTTCAGAACATTAGAAAACTGACCTGGGACTTTGTGAATTCGGTTTACTCACACAAGTATCCGAATATTCTGATGCTGGTTGATTTAGTCCTGGCCCTCCCTGCAAGTTCAGCAGAAGCAGAACGTGGCTTCAGTCAGATGAAACACACCAACTCTCATACGCATGTTAAAATCAAGGCTGACAGCATGACAGATATACTGATCATTCAGTTGAATTCTCCAGACATCAACTATTTTGACCCTAGAAAAGCTATTCATTTATGGAACACAAGGACTCAATCTTCAACTGGTGATGTTGGCCCTAATTTCGATTTGTCGTCAAACTCAGAAAGCCAAGATGAAAGTGATGAGTGATGTGACATGTTGACTTTGTTATCGGTCATAGCAAAAAGTAAATAATTTTCAAAAAATTAGCAGTGAAGTCAGTCTTTGCCTCAAACACAAAAGACATTTGACATTTTCCAAACTATAAAAAGATGCAAAGCAAAACTCCAAAGATTGATTTTCCTGTAACTTTCTGACTTTGCTTCTCTGTTCATATGATTTATTTGAATGGAAGAAGACTGACACGTCTAAGCAATGTTATTATTTTTCTGTCATCTTTCTGAGAGGTTTCTCTAAGCATGACTATACTGATCATGTTCTTAATTCTCTTAGCCTAGCATGCAACTGATTATTGTTCCTGGATAATTCTAATAACTCTAAATTGTAGTTGCAGCAGGCAAGTAACTAACTTTGGGCCAAACTGAGAATAAACGTTTCTTTTTTACTAGTTTTTGAATAAAATTGTTCAAAACTTGTTGCATGGTATATGAATGTCAGATTCTTAAATGCTTTTGGTCACTTGAGTAAGAAGGTCAAATATTAAAATGGTTTTCACACATCATACTAGGATCACCAGACATAAGCAATTCCTATGAAAACAGAATGCAACATCTTGCAACATTTTCTTTCCTAACGTAGCCACCAGAGACAAGGAGATAGACTGTACACTTAATGGAACTTTTCAATTCTTTGGCTTTCTTTATGATTTTAAAATATTTTTGTGGACCTATCTTAAAGAACATGATTGATTTATTTATAACATCTAAAATCAAATGTGGCTTCGTATAAAGCATCATTTATGGACGTTTTCTACCCAGGAAAATATTCTCATCTCTGTAATATTGCACACAGGTACAATTAAACCTATGTAAAATCCATTTCTGAATAACCTTCTGGATAGCCAATTATATCAAAGAAATAAGGATTCCATTCTTGCTAATATATAAAAACAAACTTGGGAATATCTGTTTTACTATTTTGATTCTTGAACACAGAAGAATATTTATATATTCTGCACCTGAAAGATACCTGAACATGTATTACTGATCTCTCATGGCTCTATAAGTTACCTCTACTGTATTTATTAGCCAAATGCCTTTTAGTTTTGATCTGATTCATGTGCATGCAATTTTGGATGAAAAACAAAGTAGGTATCTTTTAGACATGCTGAAATAGATGAATGTACAGGAGCAAAGCAGTTTAAAGTTCAGTACTTCATAAAGTACTTGGAGTTCATTAAATGATTAAATTAGCACTACCAACCTCGTGATTTGACTATTCAAATCTCCCTACACTTTCAAAAATGAGAAAGCTTACTGTTAGCTAAAGGACAAAATAAAAATAAGTGTACTACCTGGATTGTGGTTGTGATTTTTGTGTGTATTTGAAATACCTATATACTTATTTACCACAATGTTTTAGTCATGTGCCATACTGCACATAGGAAAATTTAGAGTAGCATTTCTTTTAAAAATTCAATCCATTTTGGGGGCTGGAGAGATAGCACAGCGGTTAAGAACACTGACTGTTCTTGCAGAAGACATTTCTTTTAAAAATTCAATCCATTTTGGGGGCTGGAGAGATAGCACAGAGGTTAAGAACACTGACTGTTCTTGCAGAAGACCCAGGTTCGAATCCCAGCATCCACATGGCAGCTAACAACTCTACATGCAGGGCAATACATGCATACACATAAAATAAAAATAATAAAATATTTTAAAATAAAAATAAAATTCAATCCATTTTAAGTAAAAGATCAAAGACTTTAAAAATGATACTGTTTTAATAATTTTCTCAAATTATTGCTAAACCAACAAGACATTTTAATGAAGGTGGGAGATAAGAACATCAGGAAACTTACTATTTTTATGTTTTTAATATAACTTCTGTCTCTCTAAAGGACACAGTGATAAATAATATTAAGAAAATGATATACATTTTTTCTGTATTAACAAAATGAAATAAAACACATCACAACATAAATGACAAAATATTTTCTCTGTGCTATAGGCATAATGGGAAATAAAGCATTTACTGACATTCTACTTGATTTGGTGACCCTGAACCTTGGAGTAAATAACTTTCCTACAAGTTGGATGCACCTCACGCAACCTGAAGTAAGCTTCTTGTTTGGGTTTCAAAACTTTTAGTGATATTCTTTTTGTTAGTAGTTCTAAGATAACTAGTACTTAGTAGTAACTTATGAAATTTGAATGAGTGAATAAACTTGAAAGTAAGAATTCTACTTGATTTGGTGACCCTGAACCTTGGAGTAAATAACTTTCCTAAAAGTTGGATGCACCTCACGCAACCTGAAGTAAGCTTCTTGTTTGGGTTTCAAAACTTTTAGTGATATTCTTTTTGTTAGTAGTTCTAAGATAACTAGTACTTAGTAGTAACTTATGAAATTTGAATGAGTGAATAAACTTGAAAGTAAGATGTAGATTATGCATGTGTTGTATTTGAAGAACTCTGATGATCTGACAGTGAAACATTATAAACTCTGGGAAGCTCAACTACTAAGTTTTTAAGTATCACAACCAGTTTGTCACTATCCTAACCAGTAATAGATGATTTTTAGGGCTTTTGTTTTTCATTATATTGTCTTTTAAAATATCTTAAAAAGATGATTACAGATGATTCCATTCCCCTATTGGCATTTGTGTCCCTGCCCAGCATAGCTATAATCTTCAAGTTGCACTGGTGAAAACACACAAGCTTAACTAAAATCCCAGTGTAAATTGGTTATCACAGTAAGTGAAGAACACAAACATCAATACACCAAAAACTGAATACTGCTTTGTGTAGGCAAGTTGGTGGAACACAAAACGAACATGAACCAAAGTCAGACCCACTGTACTTCCCAATAAGAAATCCCTTTCCTCAAAACTAACTCTGAAAGCCTGAGCAGGAAGAGCTTCCAGGTTGCCACAAAAACATTCCAGGGTCATTTCCCATCTTCTTTCAGTTGCAGGAGCTAACATCTTTATTAACAGTAAACTCTGAGTTTGTAGACTGGCGGAAATTCCTGATGGTCACATCAATGCCTTGGCCCATACCTCTGGAAGAGGAGCTCCTGGAGACCCTGCAGAGGTTCAAGGCTGTGGATGAATTGCAGACGGGCACCATCACTTTCAAGCAGTATAAGCAGGTAGACCAGCAATACTAGAATACTTTTGACCTAGTAAGTGTCTTGCATACTGATGTCACATCACATGTCTCAGAATTAATTGGTCATTAGGATGATAGGTAGATGTAGATAGATTAGATAGATGATAGATAGATAGATAGATAGATAGATGATAATAGATGGATAAATAGATGATAGATAGATGATAGATAGATAGATAGATGATAATAGGTAGATGATAATAGATAGATAGATAGA